AGTATTTTGCGAGGGTTTTAAATTGCCGCCGTACAATTATGTGGGTGCGGGAGAAGCAGCTCCAAGCTGCCAGCGCACGATTATTTAGCACAGAAGAACAATCACCACTTCATTTCTAATCACCTCATTACATATCACGGAAGGGGGGATTCGAGTCAGAAGACAGGGCATTTGCATATCACATGGAATCGAAGGGCAACTGGGCAAGGCGAAAGGGTTTAGCCGACAGCTTCGTTTCCTTGCTGTTAACACCTTGTTCCTTTTGCAACAATTCTCTTTCTCTCTATACCTCCTCATCTTCTGTACTCTTATCTCGCTTCCTATCGTTCAAGTATTCTCCCCACTACAGTCTCAAGAATTTCATACGCGCACTTACACATTGCGAATTGAAGGCTGTATTGTTATTTCAAATTCCCATTCACACAAAGTTTTCTATCTATTCCTGTGGATTGGGTATGAAATATAAGTGGCACTAGGGACTGATCTTCGTTACATGCAAGTACCTTGATTGACTGTCTTGGTTTCCCTGTTCTGTGATCTTCTTGGGCTGGGGTCGTGGAGGTCTCGTCCGCTAGCTCGGTGTTCCGGCGTCTCTTCGGATCTGGATCTTCGATTCCTTGATCATGCTTCGGGCTAGGAAGGTCCGTGTCCTTCATTGGTCGTCGAAGCTGCCAGCACAACACAACACAACACTTTTTAACACAGAAACAGCGGCCTTATATAGACAGCTTCTCGCCGTTATATATGCCCTACCTAGAAGGAAATCATGATGCAACAATCTGTTATTCGATGAATAAGTTTAATTTATGTAAATGTTTTTTAGGAGCGCGAACATCGAGGTATTTTGAGGTCCGAGGTACGGCGTCTCATTTCAAAGGATCGCTTGGTTATTTGTGATTCACTGAATTATATCAAAGGTTCCTTTATTTTTTTTTTTTTTTTCATACAGTTATTTCTGAAGAAAGATTCAACTTAGCCTTCAAAAAATCACTCTTTTTCGGAATTTTACATAAATTTTCAGGTTTCAGATATGAATTATTTTGCATAGCAAAAGAGGCACAAACCACATATGCTGTTTTGTATTGTGATGCAAATGAGGACACTTGCCAATGGCTTAATATGCAGAAGGATGAAACCGAAAGGTGGATTTTTTTTTCCCCTTAATTCTTTTCTTGAAAAAGCTATGATGCAAATTTGGCGCAATCGTAATTAGCTTTGTTCTGTTGCTGAA